CGGAATTTCCAAGCACCCCGACAAATAACATGAGTGTATATCAATCATAGTTGAAGAAAGCAAGCAAAATAAGAATAAAGTAGAAGAAGCGGGTGTCTTTTTCTACTAGACATCTTTCTGGTTGGTTTTGAAGGGAAGCCGGTTTTAGCTTGTTTGTTTGTTCTTCTTTTTTTGTTTTGTTTGGGGGGGGGGGGCAGGTTCCAAATATTGAAACAACCCCAAGTACCACTCTGGTCCCGGGTGAAAGAAAGCCAAAAAGGACGCCATTCGGCGGTTGGCTGGAAAGCCTGTGCCATCATGGTCAAAGCTCCTGTGGGCCACGGGTTCCCAACCCTGGGATTCAGCTACCATTCAAACAATACAGTAGTTGGGCGGAAATATAGTCACCATAACGTTTAAGGATTGTCATCCAAATTGGGTTATGCTTGAAAATGGGGGGTTGAAATACCCTTCGAACGGTTTTGCAACTTCCCTTTGTCAGGGGTTGACCAGCCCAACCAAGGCCAAGTTGTGTCGACCGCCGATTTTACTTTTCCACGAGGCTCGGAGCAACCCTGACGTTGCCAGAGTGGGCGTTGCCAGAGTGGTCTCGGTTGCTTTCTTTAGGCTCGCCCGCTAAAAGTGACGAACTTTCAGTGGTTTAATGGAGAAAACCCATGAGTTGGCAAAAAGCTAAAGTCCTAGCATCCAAGCAAAATAGGTTTGACACTACAATGGTCATCCCAAAATGTATCGAGTCTGGGTTTGCCCACCTGACATCAGGATTCCCCTCTAAAGTGGCACACCCCCTGAAATCATAATCATGTAAGAAAGCAAGCAAAAGGTAGCTTGAGCGAGCCCAGGAGAAACCTGGCTACATGGTGTACAGCCACTCCACAGACAGGGCTCTCCCTTATCCCAAGAGGAAGCTCAGCTACAAGTGGTCCAAGAAGTGATGCTCAAGCTTGCCAATGTTGACCCCGGATTAGTAAACCCATGTTTATTCATGTATTTGGAGGCATTTCTGGCTTTAGTGGGGATGCTCATCACTTTTGGAGGGGTCAAAAACCACCCATATTCATAAACAAACAAAGTGGGGTTCTCACTGGCGTGGATGGCCCAAAACTCAAGAGGTTTAAAGCTGAACTCAAGTGAGGCTTGAATCCGGGGTCATTCTGGAAGGTCCAACCCAGATTTGAGAGCTTGGAATAAGTTGGTACCCGATTTCTTTTTCGGCTTTGTCTATTCTAGTAGAAGCTCCCAACCGAAAAAGGGTAAAAGGGTACTACTCAAGGATCTAGGGAAATCCCACCCCTTCGCTACTGCGGGCTTTGCCCCCCCCCCCCCCCCCCCCCCTGCGCGTAATTTCTCGGTGCCCGGCGCGCAGCTTGGGCGCTCCACGGAGCGGTCTGCGCGCAGACAGCTGTCGAAGAAATGGGCCTGCGACTTGGGCGTGGCCCACCAGGGCACATCAAAAAGCCTATTGCTTGTCAACCTCAAAAGTCAACCGAAAAATACCAGCTTGAACAATTAGTCAACCTTGCAATCAATGAAGTCTGCTTGCTTCTCTGTGCGACATCGATGGGCTATGTACTGTAGTGTTGTGCCCAGGAAGTGGTATGACCAAATGATTGGTCTGCAACATTTGACGGGAATCCAACACGTGGTCTCCTCAAAACTCTCACACGACCTGGGATCCATGAGTGAAAGCAGCAAACGGGTCGTGAGGGTCAGCAGTGGTCAGGCCGGTCGATTTGCAACGTGCAAGTCCCTTCTCTCTGGTTCCAAAACCCACGGCTGTAGAAGTCGAACTAGTTTGCTTCCGCTAAAAAGACAAGAAATGAAAGCATAAAGATACGTAGCTTGGCCAACTAGTCAGAACAACAAAAACCGTTCTGCTCCCTCCCAAAGGCTCCGGCTCCTATAGGTAGATGCGGCACACAGTCATATTTCTTCAAAGAAAGCTTCCTTCAACACTTTCCCCACGAGGTGAAATCCCAATAACAACAAAACCACAAAGCTAAAGGAATCGCTCGACAAAGGCTGCACTGCCAAGCCGTACAAATGTCTTTGAACATCGCAAGGAACGCGCTATTAAGACAGAGTTCCCGGCATTTCCCCCATCACCCCGCCAACAGAACAACCGCGAAGCATCTGACACTTGAAACTACCACAGGAGAAACATAAGCGCCCCTGCAAGATTGGCAACTGACAGGTGATGCTTAAAAAACACCTACAGGGTTGCTTACACAATGTCGATGGAAGAACCGACATTTGTCCCGAAACGTGGCCAACTGGTTTCGCATCCCCAGTAAACTACCGAAGAGAAATATACATATACACTGACAAGTCTGCTGGCTTTCTGTCCAAGACTTTCCGTTGGGCTACTGGGTTGTTGGGCTGTTGTTACTTTTTTGCTGTTGGGCTGTTGGGTTGGTCTCTGGCTTTTGCCAAGAGGACAGTTTTCCACAGGGTAACTGTGCACCAAGCTATGCCCGAGGGTCAGCTTTTTTTCTCAAAATTCACAAGACCCCTCCCCAGAAAAAATAGAAAATAAAAAGAAAAACAAAAAAACACAAGCAGCGGACAGCAAACAAACCTCACATACCCATATGTAGAGCAAACTCCTTTGCAAGGAGCCCTGTGTCTGGAGGGAGGGTTGTTGGGACACTTCGGACTTCTTGGTTACCTCATTTTTCCTCCCGGAACTCAAACGACCCAATTGTGGCTAATCTCTGTTCTATTGAACCTTCAACTGTAATTGTATCTCAAAAGAGATCCCAGTCAGCCAATGGAAGACTGTGAATGGCAACATCCACTTCGCAGTTGGGATACTGAAACCCTATGAAAACTGGTTGAGAAGCTTCCTGCCAATCGATTTGCGCGAGTTTTGCGCATCCGTAGAATTCCACCTCCCCCGCTTCCCCCAAAAGTAGTACTTTCCAAGGCCCAACTCCATAATAAACCACATCTCAAACATTTTGCTGGGTTTCGAATTGGTTTCAGATCGTGCAGGTCTGGTTTAGTATTGTTTCAGTATTGGTTTCGTGTTGGTTCTAAAACGCCCCCTAAAAAGACTGAAGTCGTGGAGGAAATGCTGCTGGTTTAGAATTGGTTTAGTATTAGGGTAATTCCAATTTAGTATTGGGAGATTTGTCGTCCGGGAAAGAAAATTAGTAAATCAGCCTCCAGGCCGAAACATATTTATTAATAGGGTCCTTTTGGGTCTGATGGGGCCCCCGGAGACAAAGTTATTTACTCGTCCCTGGAAGTGGGCCTAAAATCGATCTTGTCAAATGGCTTTGAAGTTCAAAACAATACCCTCAGCTTGTTAATTAATTATCGGGTTGTTGCAAGGAGCTTTGGGTCGACTATTTGCCCACCCCCTAATAAGGCTGGGGCTGGTATGGGTGAGAAATCCGAGAGTTTAGTATTGGTTTTGAGTTGGCCTATTCTAAAAGTAGTATTGGGGACCCGGCGGTCTGGGAAAAAAAGGTATTTATGAATAGGGTCCGTTTATTAAAAGGGGGAAGGGATTACTGCCTATGGTCATGTCTCAAAGGGACCCTTTTTGGGGCGGTTTTGGAAAGAATCCAAATGAAAACAAAAAAAAGGAGAAAAAAAAGGAAAAACAAAACAACAAAAGAAAAAACAAAACATCTGTGGCACTTGAACTTCGGAGAGCCCACCTTCCCACTGGATTTTCCAAGGATTCCACAAACCCCTTGGGCTTGCCGCCTTGCGCAGGCCCAAGTCCGCGTCTATGGCATTCCTGGCGCGAAAGACCCCATTTTTGCCTCAATATGATGTAAAAGAAATATTGGTTGCTTTTATATTTGGCTTTACTATAAGCTTTTGGTGTTTACATTATAATAATTCTGAATCTTAATTGTAAACCCAAAAACAAAAAACAACATCTATAGGCGATTAATAATAAAGAAAAAATGCGACTGCATGCTCGTGTGGGCGCAACAGGCATGTTTTCTACGAGAACCGGGTCCCAACAATGGCTCCGATCCATGAGCTCTCCTTGCACACAAATGTAGCTCGGCGAATTGCAGGCCATGTTTGCATGGTGGAAAGACCCTGGTTTTACCCTAAAAGAGGTGACTTTAGGCAGCTGAATCGGGGTTGGACTTGGGCAGAGCAATCCGAGTTCCTTTTCCGCCGAAGCGATCGGTGGGCCATCGGCGGCGTTCGTCGAACGCCGAGGGACGGCCGTCGATCTCGATCGACCTAGGCGCCGGCTCTCAACAGTAGAGCTGGAATCTGGCAAGCAAACCAAATGGATCCCAGGTACCCCTATAGTAGGCAACAGCCATGTTCCTTCTATACTAGGCAACAGCCATGTTCCTTATGTAGTAGGCAACAGCCATGTTCCTTCAGTAGGCAACAGCCATGTTCCTTTTGGTTATCAACTGGTGGTTCCCTTGGCTGCCGAAAACTCATTTTTGTTTTCAAATGGTGGTCTCCTTTTCGACCTATACAGGGACATGGACTCACTGGGAAAGAAAGCAAGGGCAACACGGAATGCGTTGAAAGGAAAGCAAGCAAATCTAGACAAAGTCCTCACTTTTGACCATACTCTCAACAAAAACTTTCACCAGCTTTCCAACCTTTTTGAGGTTCACCAGCATTTCAGGAAGTTGCTCATGACTTGAAGACATACTCAATGGAACGAGGCGCGATACGAGGCCACTGGGAAAACTCTGATGGTACCTTTCTCAAGAGGGTCCCTGACTTGATACCCTAAGAGTCTGATCACACTCCGTAAGTCCTCACATGAGTGACTTGAATCCGCATTTTGCGGCACATCTTGGCAGGCACCATTCAGGCATGTCTTTTTCCGAAAGACCATCCGATCTACTACAGCCCCAAGTCGAAAGTGTCTCAAAATAGGAGAACTGTCCAAAATGGTGTTCCTTTCAGATTTCCTTAGAATCCACAAGAAAGCCGTACCTTCAAAGAAAGGCAACCATCTTCGAAGGCAATCCGCTGCTATTCTTCTCCCTTCAAAGGGCTCGGACGCTGCTTGCTCACGTGCTGGGGGTTCCCAGTCTCCTCCAGTCGTCAGGCCGAACCCGTTGGACAACTTCAAAAGGTATGGAATGAACCCGGTCCCCTTACAGGCAACCACCTGGATGGTTTATAAGGGTCATTCCATTTCTCATTCCCTGCCGAGCACCAGCGGGCCTAGAGGCAATCCTTCCAATGGACAACACACAATTGTTGGGGTCCAGGGTCGTGGAAACTCAGGGGCATTCCCTTAAACTTGGCTGGAATTAGGACCCCAGCACACATATATATATATATATGTTTTGCCTGGTTGGTAAAAAGGGGGGCCCCAAAAAAGCAACACAAATAACAAGGGGAACTAATTCTGGGGAAGTAAACACCAACAGAATTGGGGGAGGGATACCGCAAAGACAACACACACACACACACATTCACACTGCCATTTGTGGCCACATGGAAAGCCATTGGCGACTAGATGCTCAAAGAACCATACAACGGCAAATGTCCAATCCTTGGTATGTTGGCACCAAACACTATTCCTTGCAGCTTGCCAACAAAAATGAACCGAACCAACAAAAGACACCTGCAAGTACAGTGAAGGGTCGTAAAGTGATACCCTCTCCTCGTCCTCATACGCGATGCGCCCGCGGATGGGCGGCAATTGGTCCGCTTGCGAGCCCCGGTCAGTCGGGGGAGCCTCGCTTCAGGGAGATGTAAACCACCTGAGCGCCGGACATGGGAAAATGATGAAACGGTCCTTTACATGGGATGACCTTCTCATGGAGACCACCCAAAAAGATACACTTTCACAGCATGGGAAGAGATACCCATGGAGTGATTCCACCCTGATTCTGTGGAAAATTCAGTGAGTTCCCCATGTCCCTCCCACATAGATCAGCAGACTGCTGGATACGTTCACCGAACCTCATACTGTGGATGGACGAAATCCTGCACCACTTTGAAAGCATGGGAAACCATTGTTTGTTGGTATTTACAGGGAAATCATCATTCTAGGGCTTCTTGGGTGAAATGGATTTCGCAACCATCCGCAGTAATAATTATTCTATTTAGCTTTGCTGCAGTGTGTCTCTGTGGCTGGTGATTGGAAGCTCTCGGTTGGTCGCTGATGATCTTGTTGCACAGCAAGCTTTGCGACAGTTCACCCACGAATCTGGGTCATGGCTTCCGAAGGTTGATTCTACTACACACCAATATGGGCCTAAAGGTGAACCTTTGCAAAGTACTATGGCTCATCATCCCAACTTGGTCCTCTCTACTGGAGGTTAGAATAAGGGTACCCTTTTTTCTGTTTTGTCTATTTTAGTAGGGGAACCCTCCCAACCAAAACAGGGGAGAGAAGGGCACCTAGCTGGGGGACCTAGCCAAGGCAGCCTCACCCTGGGTGAGCTTGTCCTACCTGGTGTGCGTGTTCTGTCCCACCCTGAATATGTCAGCAAACCGCACAGCTAGACGAAACACACCAAGAACAGCGACCAAAACATTTTTTTGTCACATGTGGCTGTGGGTCAAAACCCTATGCCCCAGGTGAACATCAAAATAGGTGGCAAATGGATGTTCATCCACCCCTAAATGGAGCCATAGGTTATGCCCCATGGCCATGTGAAGCTAACAGCTAACTACTGTTGCTTCAGGCCCTGAAATGGTAGAAAGTGAGTGGAGCCCTTTGCTCGATCATCTTGTACATCGGAGCAACTCTGACCGACATGGTTCAAGACACAATTGTACAACACCCCTAAACCGAGTACAAATACCAGACAGCGTGTTCGAAGTGTATCACAGTTGGCCAATGGCGACACGTTCTGTCCCATGTGGGATGTCGTTTTTTGGTGGTGCCCGATTTGGAAGGGAAATCAAAGGCCAAACAAAGGGAAAACAAAGGCAGATCATCTGATTCTCATGTCAAGGCAGCCCCATTGGTCAAAACCAATGGTACCATTTTGGAATTTTGGAGTAGGTGCACCACCCATTTTAGCCTATTTTTGGGGATTGGGATGTTCACGGGGGGAACGGGCTTTTGAACCATGGCCATTTGAGTGTGTCATTTCTTTGGGGGGGAGATGTTCCTGTTGGTTGGTTTCAGAGGGAAAGCAAAAGGACACCGTTGCCATTTTGGCGGGTTACCCCGTTCGGAGGTCGGGCCATCTCCCCGCTTCTCCGGTGTCCGGGCGCCCAAATCAGGCCGATGGAGGACAGGAACGGCACGCGCCACATGCCCGGCAAGGCCTGGAAGTCTGGAAGTTGCGGGGGATGCAGTGGATTTCCATGGCCCCAAAGTTTTCACAGGCGTCTCGATTAGGACGCGAACAAGAGGCTTGGCAGACGCTGTTGGCAGCCCCTTTCATCCGAAAACCGGTAAAAAAACAAACAGGTTTCCCGGTCAACTCCAAGGAATATCATGTCCCGAACTCAGAGCTCCGATTGGTATTTGCCAAAGGCTCCCTCTTTGAAAGCAACTTTTTGGATACCAACTCCAGCTCCTTGGCTCCCTTGCAACCAGCTAGTTTCCCATGGACATTTGAGGGTGGCACCTTCTCTTAGTTATTCACGGGGCCCACCGGAGGGTGTCCTCAATGTCGACCCCTAATTAAGAACCCCCGCCCAATTATTGAGGACCGTGAACCGTGTTTCTTCATATTTTTCCAGGACACTGATTTATACCGGAGGGGCTTATACTAAAAAGAGGGACGAAAGAGTGCCCTTGTCCAATGACACCGGTGGCTGAGCAGCTTAGGCGAAGTGAGCTCTCGCCACTAGGACCTCTTCGTGGATCCTGGGATAAGCCAAGGAGAAGCCCCTGACAACCTTAAGGATCCAATAGATGATCGCCCCCGTTGGAGGGTAGAGTCCCGACTCTCTTCATCTATCCTTCTCTTCAGATGATGCTCTTCCTGGCAAGTATCTCTGAATGGGGAGGCTACGGCTAGACCAACAAAAAAAATGGTTTTCAGCTGAATCCCTGAGCTGGATGGGGAACGGCTAGACCCAAAACAACGTGGTTTTAAGCTTGATATTGCATGGGAACAAACGCCCACCTCTCGGGAGGAACGTCAAGGGACATGCTTCAAGGCCCTTTAATCCATCCCGGGATCGGATCAAAACGGATGCACCCCCCCCCCCACATCTCGCCCTTTAGTTTGTCCGGAATCAGAACCCTTTGACGCCGTTTGAATCGATTTGGAGGTCCGGACTGTGTCAGATTTTTGTGTCCTCAACCAATGCCTGCTTCCCTGAAAAGGAAAATTGAGAAGCTCCGCTTGTATGACGGTTTCCCCTCGGGATAGACACAAAAGTTAGTTTCCTGCCCAAATAAAATTGGCCCGACACACAAAAATGTTGCCCTCCGGGATGTCAGTCCTGCTTTGTCATGAGGGCATCCCACCATTGTGACATCTGCTTTCCAACGTCCGGGTACTTGCAGCCCATGGTGTGATCATTCCCTAGGTCCTCCAGTAGAGAGGTTAGGATAAGGGTACCCTTTTTTCTGTTTTGTCTATTTTAGTAGGGGAGCCCTCCCCCAAAAAAGGGTAAAAGCTTGCAATATTGGGGGACCTAGACTCCCAAAAAGGCAGAGCTCGAGGACGGCCAAGGTGTAACTTTCGGAGTCCAAACAGGCGACCGAGTGTCCTCAACCCTCACGGAACTTACCTGGAGAATAACCCAGAGGGTCCAAGTACCTCATGAGGAGGGTAAAACGGGGTCTAAGTACCTCCTTAGAGGGTACTTGGACCCTCCGGGTAAGACAGGAACACACAAAATAAGTTGGTTCAACGAGCAAAAGTCTTTCTGACCGATCGGAGATGCGGAAAAAGTCTCAGCCAAGCCGCGGTGAACATCACCTCAGGGCCAAATCGGAACGGGCCAGAACCCTGCAGGTTCCCCGAAAGGACGGTGCTTACCATGCCCGTGCTGTGATCATTCCCTACGTCCTCCAGACTTGAGAGGTAAAAATCAGGGAACCTTTTTGCTTCTTTGTTATTTCTTTTTCTTTTCCGGTAGTTTATTTTAGTAGGGGAACCCTCCCCCAAAAAAGAAACGGGTGAGAGGTCGGGCGCTGCACCTTACGCCGGAAATAAGGACTCCAAGACGAGGAGTAGATCTCCCTCAAATGATGGAACATGTTGGGTTCGCACCATGTCCCCCAACCCAAAAACCCCAAAAAACCTTGCGGCATACTGTGGATGAACGAAATCCATTTCGCACCACTTTGAAACCATGGGAAACCGTTTGTTTGTTGGTATTTACCAGGGAAGCATCATTCCAGGGTTTCTTGGGTGGTGCGAAATGGATTTCGTCCATCCACCGTATGAATGAGGTAGGGTGACAGCCGACAGAGATTGTAGGGTGAAATGCAAACCTTCAAATGGACCATAGACAGGTTTCACCAAGCTATGTTCTTTTTGTTTTTTTGCGAAGCATGTTGTATTACAATTAACAACAACAACTGAAGATATCACCCCACTTAACTGTAATCCCCTAAGGAAGGCTCAGGTTGGCTTATACCCACCGGAAGGACCTTTTTCGTGTTGAAAGCCCCAAGCTGCCGGTGCACCCCGCCATCCGACCCAAGCCCTGAGGTTTCTGGCCCCATGGCACGAGCAACATCACTGCCTTCCAGGACGACGTCGCTGCCCCAAACCGGGGCTGCTTTGGTTCCCCTGGAAACCAACCCCAGCATGGGCACCCTCAAAAAGCATGTTTTTTTGTTTTTGTTTTGTTTATACTTTAAACGCAAAAAAACAGACACCATGCTCCTCGGTTGCCTTCTGCTCCACTGCTAAAAGTTTGACTTTGAGTGGTTTAATGGAAAACCCATTAGTTGGCAAAAAGTTAATTAAAGTCCTAACATCCCTTGGCAAAATGCACCAAAGGCTTGGTGGGAGGGTAGAGTAATTACCTGGAAATACAAGGTGATCACCTGGGACCACCAAGAATGGACCAAGGAAGCAGGATAACGTTAAAAACTTGGGCGAAGATCTATGTCTCTCACTCACTCGACGTGCGGACTCCCAACATGATACTCCCTTTTATTTCCATGTAACTACTAAACCGGCAAGTACCAACTCCAAATGGATCCAAATATATGTGAACTCCATTTGCTGGCAATGGCATCTCTGACGAAAGATACGTTGAAACATCCATTCATCAGCCACACCCAAACCCCTTGAGCGAAATCGGGAATCCGCAATGAGTGCGTTGAATCTCACGACGGGAGAAACAAACAACTGTTGTTTACCCTTGATGTACCAACCTGGTGGAAACATACATGGCGTGTGTGTGTGTGTGTGTTGCCCTAATAGTCATGCTCTCGTAAATGGGTTGCACCCCCCCCTCTGTGGGTTCACCTTGCTGCCACCAAACATGGAAGTGCAAGCTTCGGAAAACAGCGGTCTTTTTGGAAGGGGAGCCTGTCTTCCATGTTTATTGGAACAATGTTCCCTGCATTTGCCCTGCCAAAGTTACCCCTAGTTGTTGGGGTCCAAACAACCTGCCACTGATTCAAGTCCGATGTAAGGCTGATGCAGAGAGGCTGAAGAACACACTCTCCAAGTCAGAAAAAAAAGAAGACCCCTGGAAGGAGCGGCATTTAATTCTGGTATCAACTCACAAGGCTTAAGGGTCCCGGTAACTGGGAAACCTATTTGATTTCCACATACACGCTTTCTAAGGTACCAAACAAAGTCGGGAACCGATGTAACTAAAGAATCCGCGCCTGTGTCTACCAGTAATGTCCACGACATTGTAGGCTTGGCAACAGAAAAGCCACAGTTGAATATAAACATGGACTATAACCTGATTGTCTAACTCAAGAACCTAACCCCTAACCCACTTTCTGCAGGATTTTTGGGCTTCTCTGTTGCGCGATCACCTTTGTCATAGACATGTTCAAACCTCATCAAAAGGTCGGCTGCTTCCGAGTTTCTGAGCGAGTCCCGTGCCGATGCCGCATCGGAGCATCAAGGGACCAAGATGTGTATATGTTGAAAGGGCCACTTTGCCACTTTAGTTTCCGAACTCGGGATGGAACAAAAGCGGAGAAGCTAAAATATTTTGGCAACCAATTTACAAATCCCAAATACGCGATCCTGCTAATGGAGCCTTCATGGGCAAGCTCGTAGTTCCCCGAGATCGGTGAGCTCGAAAAACTTGAATGCCCAGACATGGTTGAAACCCGAACGCATGGCTCGGCCAGACTTCGACCCCTACCAGTGAACCGTTTGATGATTGAAAGGTTAAAAGGCCCCCCGCCTAACTCTGGCAAGGATCTTAGTGCCTTGTTTGCAGGAAACGGGGGTTGGGGAGGGTTGGATCCACAAATTCAGGGTTGATTATAGAGAGAAATCCCCTTCCCACAAACAGCTGGAAAGGGACAACCCCACTGAAGGTCTGTGCTCCCTAAAATGGTGGTTTTCCTAATGATTCCCCTCCAAACCAACCAGTACTATGTTGCCCTTGAAACCCAGAAAGCCTCTCAAGGGGTTCCCTACAAAGCAAAGCGACACACCTGACACACCCCAAAACTTCTGTACATGTACCAGTGGCTCGCCCTTTTGAGGGTAGCTCCACGTGTACTTTAGCGGCACAGGTGTGCTTGGGGGTTCCCTAAAAACAAAGCGACACACCACGACAGATCTCTAGATTTGGAGCACGGATGGCGAGTTTTACATGCCCAGACCCACACCCTGAAAAGGATAGAAGGGCACCTAGCCGGGGGACCTAGAAGGAGTTCCCTAAAAAAAGGAAATCCCCTTTAAATTACTATGTAAGCCTGAAACGAGAAATTTCCCGAAGGACAGCGACCCACCATCGCGCCGAGAGAACCGGGGCACCACGTCCGAGGTCACCAGCAGCGGCGTGGCCGCGCTGAGGTCGCTCGCCACGCTCCGCGCCCAGTACGCCCCGGCCGCCGCAAGCAGCTGGCGCCCGTCCCCGTGACTGGGAGCGTGGGGCTGGGGTGCCGTAGGTCCCCCAGCCAGAAGTTGAAAGACTTGTTGCGGGAGAAGAAAGGACATTAACTTGTTGCTGGATAAAAGGAAATATGAGGGGAATCCAAAAAGTTGAAGTCGAAAGATCCAACCCAACAGCAGTGGAGGTGGGGGATGAAAATGGGCCGCTGGAAAGCCATCGAGGGTCCCTTGGTATTTTCTAACCTCTGCAAAAAGTTTCTCTTTTTGTGGGTTTAGCAGAAAACCCCTTCATTTCCCAAAAAGTTAAAGTCTAAAGATCCAACCCAAGAGCAGTCAAGCTAAGGAAATACTCTAAGGACCCCTTTTTGCCCCCCTTTTAAGCCATCCTCATAAGGGACCCTCTGGGCATTGATTAGGCTACCTGGCGCTTCTCACAAGAGAACCCCCGAAAATGGTCCTGATTTGTGCACTGATCGTGGGGCTGGGGATTCAACTGGAGTGGACTGGGAGACTGGAAAAATAGGCTACCTAGAGTCTCCTTCTGACCCTTTAAGGGGGTCATTACCTGAAAAAAATTGGGTCATGGACCTATTTTTCAAGGGTGATGGAGACTCCAGGTATGCCTTTGTCTCAAATGGGGAACCCCCTAAAATGGTCAGCTGTTCGTCCATTGGTGTCATTTTAAACACAACTCAAAGGGTGCCCCCCCCCCCCCCCTCCCACAAATTCAAGCAACTCGTTCGTTGACCCCTTGCGCAAAGTTAAGCTTCCAGTGGGATTTGTCATACTCTCAAAAGCCTGCTGGCTCGGAACGGCCATACAGATGCCCCAATTCTTGCAAACCAACCATAACCCCAACAGCATCGAACATTGGATGTTACAGAAAAACAAATGGTTGGTGTTACATGCTGTCGGGGTTAACACGTCCATGGTGCTGTTGGGGCAACCGTACTTCATCCCAATGTCTCGATTTGTTTTTGAAGGTTGCTGTTACAGAATAAACTCATCTCGTCCATGGCACGGGGGGAACAGCTGCTTTGTCACGGGGCCTCTGAAGAATTGGGTGGGGGTTTAAGCAGTAGGCACTGCTTACTTGCAAGCTCGGGTCGAGCATTCTGGGGCGACGGCGACTTCTCACTCTTCCATCCTTCTTCTTCGGAGTGCCATTCCATTCTGGGTAACTTTCGCGTGTCCATCTCAGAAAACACATAGAACATCGAGAAAAAGCTGATCCTGGGTGGTTCTGTGCAATGTCACCACTGAGTTAAGTTGCACCCGGCGAGGTCATGTGTGGCGGAAAAAAAAGAGTAGTCCGACACCTTTGACCCAAATGGGTCAGTCCACTGTCATCGGGCCCCCGTTGAATTCAAAAATCCACCGTCATTTTTGTCTGATGGGGTCCCCGAAATCGAAAAGAAACACGGTCAAAAACCGCACACCAGGAAAAGTGCTTGACCGGACACAAACCGCGCAATTTTCGGCGCCTGTTATAAATGGCTTCTCGGAAGGTGTAGAAGACTGGGAGGTACACCAAAGGCAGAAACACCGCCCAATCCTCAGATCGTAGCCATGTCCTTGCGCCGTAGATCCCCCAGCAAAAAGTTAAAAAGGACAAATGATGGGGAATCCAAAAAGTGCAAGTCTCAAGATCAAACCCAACAGCAGGAGAGAGTCTTTCGGTTTCCTTACACCTGACCAGGAAAGGGTTCCCTGATGTTTTCATGAACCCTTTGTGGCGGTCAGCCCGATCCCCTCCGGTAGAGAGGTTAGAACAAAAGGGTACAAATTTTTTTCAGGATGTCTATATTATAAAGCTTAGAATAACCCTTTTTCAGTCGTCGATTTTAGTAGGAGGGTTACCGAATCTCCCAACCAAAAAAGAAATGGGTGAGAGGTCGAGCACCTGGCTGAACCGAGCTAAGATGGGATCTGTTTGCCCAGTTCTTGGTTGACGTTGGAAGGGGAGCAACAAACAAAATGCAGTTAAGTGGGGATTTCCCACTAAACCACAATAAGCAAAAATCGAAAAATGGTTCCTAACAACAACCATGAGTTGCTCTAAAAGGACAAGAGGGGCACCGCTGGACTGGCAAATATATTTTTTCGGGGGGTCAGCCGCACTTCCGCAGAGGCAGCTTGGGAGGATAGGAAAATGGCCCGCTTTTTTGGGGCCCTGGTCCCGCAAAAAGGATAGACAAAAAGAAGAAAGACCTCGAGTTTGACGAAACTGCTGTCCCTTGTCGCGGAAAAAGGAGTCATGTTGGCCACTGCTCATTTCAGGCAAATATCAGTTTATGGTCCATCAGGAGTTAGATTTAAACTCTGCTGCTTTCTGCTCCTCTGCTAAAAGTTTAACTTTTAGTGGTTTAATGGAAAACCCATTAGTTGGCAAAAAGTTAAAGTCCTAACATCCAAGCAACATGTACCAAAGTAAAGCCATGGGATGAATCACGAATTGTCCGATGTCCTTAGGGGAACCAGAGATCTGATGGCTTTTGGGGGGTAAAAAGGGGTCCTTAGAGTAGCTCCTTAGAAGGTACCAATGGACCCTCTGGGTTGTTCCTGGGAGTCCCATGCTTAGGAATCGCCAGGGCTCCACCGCGATCATGGAGGCAATGAGCTTCCATCGCACCTCAAGGTCACCAGCGCGATTTCGACCCGACGGAAGGCTTGGGCAATGGGACTTGGAGAACTTTGGACCGGCCGGCCGGAAAAACCAAGATTGGCCGGGCACTGAGTCTGAGCTATGAGATGTAGGTCCTCGTGACTTTCGACGCTTTCGATTCCGCCGAAAGAGAAGAGCAATCCTAAAGGGGTGGCTTGGGCAAACCAAGCCTGGCTGGTCCTCTATATCCTGAATCCAATTTGACCGTCTATGGGAGAATCTGCAAAACTCGTATGCAACATGCATGAAATTGGAGTGCCATTTCCATTTCAGGCGATGCCCAATAACTTTGAACTAACACCTCAAAATGGAAAAACAAAGGCCCCAAGTGCAGTAGCCTTGTCGCAAATCCCATGGGTTTGAAGTTCAAACTCATGGAAACCTTCGCACCCAACGACTTTCTGTGACCTTAAGGGATCCCCAAGAGCCCCTAAGGCCTCAATAAGGTCTGTTTCGAGCAGCGCCGGGCTCCAATCCCGGAATTTTGGGGCAACACCTTGGCTTCACCCTTCAAACAGCCAACATCCCGTCTCGAAACAACGAAAACACAAACCAGGACCCAGAAACTCCCTTGGTGCCGCATGAGGATGGCCTAAAAGGGGTGTAAAAAGGGGGCCTTAGAGTACCTCCTCAGAAGGTACCAAGGGACCCTTTGGGGGCGTCTTCAAGTGAAACCAACAAAACTCCCTGCACTCCACGATTTCAAAGAACCCGAGCTGTGCGCTTTGTCGCAAAAAGCGAGGCCCGTGCCGGAAAATGGCGCTCCAGCACGCGCGGGAACTGGGCCTGGAGTGACGCGAGCTCCGAAACTCAGGCTTTGTGGTAGCCTTTGAGGGGTGTGTGTGTCAAACTAAAAGTTTGCACCTCCTGGTTTCCCGACTCTACTCGTTTTTTCACAGGCCGTCTCGGCGAGCGCGCACAGCTCGCAGCTCTTGGCTTCCCTCACTAGTGGAGTTCCCTCCGAAAACCACTCCATGGTGTTTGAGGGAGCCAAATTGGGGAAACGACAAACAAAATACACCCACACACCCACACACCCACACACCCACACACCCACACACCCCTGTGCAAAAAGTGCGAAAGCACACCGAGATGCGGACGTAGAAGAGATAGGCCGGGAATCCCATCACCAGGCCAAAAGAGCTGAAGAGCCCACTGCGGCGCAGGTCGATCTGCTCCTGCCGTATGTGGTCCAAAACGTCTCATGTTTTCCGGATCTGTTCTATTTTTGTGAATACCCCAAAAAGTCATATGTTTTCTGGATCTGTTCTATTTTTTGTTCTTTTCTCGGTTGCTTTCTTTAGGCTCCCCTGCTAAAAGTGACTAACTTTTAGTGGTTTAATGCGGAAAACCCATTAGTTGGCCAAAAGTTGAAGTCCTAACATCCAAGCAACATGCACCAAAGTTATTTTTGTGAATACCCTAAACTATAAAAAACAGCTTTCGAGACCCCAAACACGCAAAGTTTCCCTTGAGAAGGTTCAACAACTTCTGGGTTGAAGAACTAATCAACAAGTTGTCCGGTAGCCTAGGATCAGCTAAAATTGGTAACCAAGCAATTAGTTTTTCTCAGATTTTCGGCAAAAGGAGGCAGGAACCCCAAACCAGCAAAGAGCCGGCAGGAATCGAGCCTGGACCCCTGTTTTGCGACACCGAACCTGGCTGCAACTCAGCCCTGGCTTGGGGGCAGGGGCTTGGGAAGTTCGAGGGATGGTGGGGGATGGCTTCATGTGAGACGGGCTCGTAAATTAGAAAACGCATTCCCTAAAGTCCGAAAGCCCAAGACTGAGGCAGTGCCATGGCAAGAAAAGAATGTGGAACTCCGGTGCGCCGGGTTTTGTGGACCATCCTGACAAATTGACCAGGGTCTGCTGGTTTCACATCAACCGACGACTAGAACCCAGTGCGTCCGACCAGGAGTTGCAACCAGTGACCCAATTGCAAACCCACTCGAAAACAGCAGGCCTGTTCAGCAGCACAGTTCGTGTCGAGAAAAGGGGAACGGGTGCCGATTTCTCCACTTTGTTTCAAGGAAGAGCGTCTTAGGAAGCCTTGTGCGCTGCTCGCTGAAAACAAAAAACAGCCCACTTCTGCTGCCTGTAGGTTGTTTCAGGCCGGCCAGGGGGAGTGCTCGGCGCTCAACCTGTCACATCCTCCTGCAACCACTTTGCGGCGGAGGAAGCCTACTTATGGCTGTGGGCCAAAACCCTGTACCCCTAGTGAACATCAATCTAGGTGGTAGATGGGTGTTCATCCGCCCCAATCTGGAGGCATAGGTTATGACCCATGGTTACATCACAAATTGAGTTCTTTGTGTTGGGTGTACCTGAAATACAGGGCAAATACCAGGGCCCAGTGGCCTTGTCAAGCCCTTGACCCGCCCATCAGCACAGTCAAGCGGGCCTTACGCTCGATAAAGCGCTGGGTCAGCGCGTCCCCCAGGAGGTAACGTCCCCCAAGGGAGCCTCCAACAAAAAAAACGCAGGACGTCAAATCATTTCTTTCTGGTTTTTGGATTACCCCTAAATGACCCAGAATGTTGGGCATGAATGTCGGGATTCCCGCAAAGGACACCATAGGGGATGATTTATAGGGGGTCATTCCCTCATTCCCTGCCTAATTTGCCCAGCAACATGCTGATAAGGCCATGGGTCAAGATCCAAATCGGTTAGCCCCCAGTAAACATTGCAATCCAACGACTAAAATAGGTTCTAAAATGGGTGGTGAATTCACCCACCAACCAAAATGGGGAATCCCAAAACGGTTTTGACCCACAGCCATAAAGATTCCCAGTCATTCCATTTACCTGCATAGCAGGTAACCAGGCTGTAAAAACCAATAGGAAAATGGCTGTTTACCTACTATAGTTATAGGTTCTTTAGGCCTTACCACAACCCAATAAAGCCAGGTACCAAACACACTTGCTGAAGTGGCCTATAGGGAATTTGGACGCAAATCAATTGGCAAACTGCTTCAAATCCCTCGCTCAATGAACACCAGGTCGAAGATGTACTTAAACGTGGAACGGCGTCCAGTATTTACGTAGCAAATTATGCATGTATGTTGCGAATCAGCCTTTTTGGACAGTCGCACCTGAAATGAAGTGATAACAGCGCGGGCAGACAAACACATCCGCAAGCACTTCTGTTGGATGTATATGTCCATGTATACGTACATGTGCATGTGTATGCATATGTCATTGCATGCATGTACATTAGAACATTGTAGTCACCCCCCCCCCCACGTGGTAGCTTAAAGGGAAACAACCAACTAGTGTCTAAATTTGACAACTGCTAGAGAACCTATTGAGGAACGGGCCTAAGTATATCTTCAAACAGCTGAGTGGTCGCGCGCGGATGTCACTCGCTCCTTGCCTTTACAGACCGGTCTTCAATTCAGGTGATTCCTTCCCCGGAACCCAAGGATGGTGTTCACCATGGGTCATACTGTGGATGGTTGCGAAATCCATTTCGCACCACCTATCAGAAACCGATTCCCCTGTAAATGCCAACGACTGGTTTCCCATGGCTTCAAAGTGGTGGGAACGGACTTTGCAACCATCCACAGTACATCTTGCGCATCCCCAAATCTACCTCAGCTATTGCCCACCAACAGCACGATGTTAAGTTGTAACATGTAAATCAATGTCGAAGGACATCCAACATATTTTCGGTGGCTTAATGTGGCCATGTCACAGGGGATACTGCATGTCACAGGGGATACTGCCCACAGTTTAAGCATAGGCGTGCTTCTTGAAAAGTAGATGGAACTGGTCAATGTACAGAACCAAGCTGAAAGCAGTGGCATCTATTTTCAAACAAGGCTAAGATAACCAAAAAAGGAAACCTATGCCCCCCTGCCCCTTCCACGAAAGAACCAAACTGAATGTTCGACCAGGCTGACATCTAGCAAGGGCACCCTTGCGTGCTTTATGACTTTCCAGTCCTTGCCCTCTGAGCCCATAGTCATAGACAATGACAAGCAGCCGCTGGCAATGGCGAAGCCGCGTAGCATGGCAGCGGTCTTGCTGTTCTAAGGAGGGTTATCAGAACTATGCGGTTCGTGAATCCCTGCTAGAAGTCAACCATTTAGTGGGATTCATCAGAAAATAATCATCTCTAAACTCTAACTCCAACCCTGAACTCTAAAAAGTCTAAACGTTTGAGGAGCCGTATGGCTGAGAACCACCAAGCAATTGATGGCTCTTTTTCGGAGTCCTCGAAACGGGCGCGGCCAAACACGAGGCCCTTTTGACAACGTGACAGGAAGGATGGCTGCGGCTTCTCTGTCGGAGTTTCCAGCGAAAGCTTTGATGGCGTGAGCTTTCTTTGGCGAATCAGCATTGCCAGTTACTTCTTCGCTCGGTCCCTGCAACTCTCCTGCGCGGACGAAGTAGTTTAGAAGCACTGGTTAAGCGACCTACGCCATTGAGACATTGGTAAATGTGTTTTACCCTAGAATGTGGCCGCCACATTGCAAATTAATGCTAAATAGCTTGGCCATACGACCTCTTAGGAGACACAATGGATGTTCAAGGGGAAAGAGAGCACTCATTTTCTTGCTAGTTGATAACAACTCCAACAAAGGAAGAACCAATTAAAACAAGCCACTGCTGGATTTTGGTCCGTCAAAACCAGCACAACTCGTACAAGTGTCCACAGGCATCCTACATGGGTGGCTTCGGCTGTGGATCAAGGCTTGAGCCTGAGCTGGCAAACCGGTGCATTCGATTTTGGTTGAGGCTCGGTTTCCTTCATTCAGTGAAACCACAAGAGAATCCACCATTTAGTTGTTCTTGAAAAGCATGTGTCCCCCTATTTGGACAAATACCCCCCCCCTCCCCCCTCCCCCCTCCCCCCTCCCCCCCCCTATATCGGACCTCTGTCCTACGACCCCTAGATAGTCGCGGGCTGTGCCCCATGAGGGTGCAGTCACCGAGTCTCAAGGATCCTCAAGCGAGCCGGCCGGGCAAATCCTCGCCCACGTCCTCGGCCAAATGAGTTGAGCTCATTGACGTTTGGCTCTACCAAGACGGTCGTCCAGGTTATGCGGGCCCTACTATAAGTAGTATTACCGGATAACTCCGTGGATTGCAGTTAGTTCTGTGCTTGATTGTATTTTGGGCTCTCTCCATGGGCGAGATCGGGCCGCAATGAAAACGGTAGGGGGCCATGCTTGTGGAAAAGGACCGCCCCTTTCTGCAATACCGTTTAGCGGGATTGCCATCATGACTTCGGTATCACTGCAAGAAGGGGTTTCCCTCAGCTGCTCAGAGAAACAAGGTTCCTCCTCTTCAAGCATCACCCAAACCAAAGGGAGATCGAGTTTGGCATGGCAGCCAAAGGTCGTGTTTGAATAACCCAAGGCTTGATATGGCAACCCTGATGCGATGTAACACTCGGACCCAGAATAATAAACTCAAAGAGCGCAAGTGCTGGTGCTGTTTGAGGATGACTCTCGATAGTGAAAAGAGGACTCCTTGGCAGCTACTTGGACCCTCCAGGCATAAGACTAGCAAGCCCTTCTGAAGCCTCGTAGTGACTGCCCAACATAAGCATAGTATAGACCAACCCAGTTGCCCAACCAGAAAGGTAGAACAAGGGACGATTCGGTTGTGAGCGGACTCAATTCTGCATGACTGGGCCAGCGGGCTGTGCTGAATTCCTTTGGACACGCATGTGTGTTCCTGTGAGGGTATTCCTCTCAGCTTGGATTCAAGGATGCCACATGGAAACCACCAGTTTTGGGTAACTCCCCATTTTGACACCCAAGGTTCCCACTCCAAGCGGAACCGACATCACTTCTTGGTAAGGGAACGTGACGAGCAAACCCAAACAGCTTGCTGGTAGGGAAATGATGGACTAAAAAGGCAACAATTGTCACAAACCCAGAGGGTCCAGGTACGGTAGCCAAGGAGCTCCTTTCAGGGCTCTGGGAAATGACCACTTCTGTGATACAACAATAAGGGCTTCCCAAAGACTAACCCACCACATAACGGGGGAGATTCCCTTGTATCACAGAAGTGGGGTAAAACCCCTTGATCCCACAACCCTTTTTCTTTTCAACCCAAAAACGCAAAAAAACCATCCTCATCAAATACCGTCCGGGACCCTCTGGGAAAGCTACGTCTGGCAATGCTACGTGACATGTCCCTCAACATCCCAAACTCCGCTGAAAAGCCCGGGACCGGCCTCGGAGATGCCTCGGTGGGAAGCGGCATCGGGGGAGATGGAGCTTCTTCAGCGCATGGGTTTGAATTTGTCTGTCTCTATATATTTTGGAGGAAGTGTAATTATTTAAGTCATGTTTCAAGTTTCGTGCCCCAGAGGGCATTGTTGAGGGTACCAGTGTAGGGTATTGTTGAGGAGACAGGATAGGTGACTAATTTTCAAGAGAAACCTGTTTGAAGGGGAACCCCAATCAGATTCACGGAGCTCGTCGCAAGAAGCCATGGCAGATCCATGGCCTTGAACCTGCTCTCGGTTTCACACAGATCGCCCAACCCTCATTTGCAAGAAAGCCCTCTTTGCTGGGCCGTCCTCAGATCCCCCGCTAAAAGTTGAGCTGTGAGTGGGTTAAAAGCCTCAAAGCTAGGATGGCTCGAGCCAAGTTTGGCTTGACTCTGCGAGAGGTCACTTGGCTGAAACAAAAAAACATGTCTCCCCCCGTCTGACGGGAAACAACTCACGGGGAAGGTCGCGGGGCCCAACATTGGAGACTCCAGGCGCAGATCTGGACGGCTCAAGCCCGTGCAAAAAGTGAGACATGTTGCGGTTCAGTACCCGGAGGGTCCAAGTAGGTACCTAGGGAGGTACTCCAAGGACCCCTTTTACCCCTTTAAGCCATCCCCATGAAGTACTTGGACCTTCTGGGGTAGGAACAATCATAAATTTCCCCAAAAGTTGAAGTCTAAAGAACAAGCATAATAGCAGCCAAGATATCTTGAATCCTCCATGTGCTTACCCGAATATGAAACCATGCAAGGGGGTCGGCCCATGCGGCACCGTTGAAGTATGGCGCAAGCCCAAGTTGAAGGCGCGCAATGCCTCTTTGAGGCTTGGTTGCATGTTGCCAACCTGGAAGCCCTCCAAGAACACCTCAGGCGTGGTGAATCTTAGGGCACTAGCGGATCTCAAGGTATGCTGTTTTAGGGTTTGGCTCTGCAAGCAAAATGCTCTATGGCAAGAGGGATTGTCGAGAGCCGATCTCCGGTTCAAACCAATCTGCTGCCAAAGGCGCTATCTGTCGTCAGCTGCTGGTACTTCTCAAACCTGGCACGACCATCAACCTTTTGATCTCCCTCAACGGGGCACACCTAGTCATTTTCAAATTGAGACGATTTGGCCACACCTGGCTATGTGGCCACATTTGACAAGGCCCTAACCTTGGGTCTTTGGGGGGGGGGGGGGGTGTTCCTGCAGCCACTGCGGCCTGCTTGAGAAAGGTGCAAGCAACACTCTGAGAGAAAAGCTAAAAAACAATCCAAAAACCCGCCGTGAAATCCTTCAGGTTGCAGCCCATCCTCAGCCCAGGCAAACTTTCTTCCCCTTTGCAGCCCATTTCCAGAGAGGGTACTGAACGACCCCTTTTTCCCCCCCCAAAAGCCATCCTCATGAAGTACCGAAGGACCCTCTGGGATTCACCAGCAAACCCAAAAGCCCAAGAAGTCCCCAGTGACCGAAAGCCCAAGTCGCCGCAAGCGCCGCGTTCAAGCGCCCCCGAAAAACTGCGCCGAAAACCGCAAGCACTTGGTCGACGTATCATTCTAGGGTTTCTCAGGTGGCGCGACTTGAATTTCGTCCATGCACAGTACCAAGCGAAAAAAAACTAGACCACGGTTGGCCCAAAAGCATAACATCGCAAGCGAGGTCGGCCCAACGCTGCAGGATGCGTTCTTTTTCCCTCCACGAAGCATTTGTGAAGCAAGCGCGAGACAGCACCAGGCAAGGTGCTCTGCGCAAACTGGTCGGTGCAAGTTGGTCTGCGCAAGTTGCTCTACGCAAGTTGCACTGTGCAAGTTGCTCTGCGCAAGTTGCTCCGCGCAAGTTGCTCCGGCAAGTTGGTCCCTGCAAGCGGCTCCCTGCAAGTTGCTCTGTGCAAGTTGCGCTCCCTGCAAGTTGCTCTGTGCAAGCTGCTCTGTGCAAGTTGCTCTGTGCAAGTTGCTCTGCGTAAGTTGCTCTGCGCAAGTTGCTCTGGGCAAGGCGCTCTGCGCAAACTGGTCGGTGCAAGTTGGTCTGCGCAAGTTGCTCTGTGCAACTTGCTCTGCGCAAGTTGCTCTGCGCAAGTTGCTTTAAAAAATGCAAGTTGCATCTTGCGACGCCCGCCCGCGGACCAGGGAGGAATCGAACCCGCGACCCGCCGGTTCCGGGAGCAGGCGCGAACCACGAGACAACTCCCGAGGACCAGTTCGAACAACAAAAGTCGCAAAAAACCTCGAGTTTTTGCACCTCGACCACGCCGATTCCCGCAAAGGGTTGCGCCAGCACCGCAGAAATCGCAAAAAACCTCGAGTTCTTTGCACCTCGACCACGCCGATCCCCGCAGAGGGTTGCGCGGGCACCGCAGAAATCGCAAAAAAACCATGGGTTTTTGCACCTCGACCACGCCGATCCCCGCAAAAGGTCGCGCGGGAACTTTAGAAATCGCAAAAAACCATGGGTTTTTGCACCTCGACCACGCCGATCCCCGCAGAGGGTCGCGCGGGCATGTTGGAAATCGCAAAATACCATGGGTTTTTGCACCTCGACCACGCCGATCCCCGCAAAGGGTCGCGCGGGAACTTTAGAAATCGCAAAAAAAACATGGGTTTTTGCACCTCGACCACGCCGATCCACGCAGAGGGTCGATTTTCGTGTAGTGTCGTCGGCACTACCCCGCCGCCCTAAGAAGAGAATTTAACTCCTCACAAGTCAATTGCACTTGACTCCTTGCGCTTGCAACTTGCACTTGGCCCCTTGCACTTGCAACTTGCACTTGACTCCATGCACTTGCAACTTGCACTTGACCCCTTGCACTTGCAGCTTGCGCTTCGCTGCTTGCACTTGCAACTTG